ATGGGGACAACCCCAATACTTGAAATGGCGCGCGCTTACGGTCTCCGTCCCCGATTATGGCTCCTGGTACAATTTATATTCTTTATTCTTAGATAGTTTTAGTTTAATATTTATAACCAATTGTATGCACATATTTACTTTGTTGTTTTGTTTTTTTGACGCACCTGTAAATTAGCCGGTGCGTTCTGTAGACTCTGCTTATCAAGTCTATGGGACGCATCGTTACCATAGCTAAGTGTGTTGTCCAAGTGAAATAAACTTTCTAGGTCTATGTCTATGTCTATTTCACGCGGAAGCACGAACTGATACCAAAATCCAAAGTCATGATTAACTACTTAATAACCGAGAGTGAGGTCGTTACGGGGAAATCTCAAACTGAAGCCTTGCCGTGTTGACCCAGCGATAGCGAGGTCAATACGGTAGGTCGAGGTTTGAAATTTTCCCGTAACGACCAAACGGTCGAAGTTATTTACTTGTTTATTATATGGCTTATGAATTAAAGAAGTGAAAAAAAATTATTCGAGCGGAAATCGTCAACTTACATCCGGCGATGCGCGCGTTTACCGATTCATTCATCGTCTCAAACCCAGGGAAAACTACACAGTCAGTGAACTTTACCACTGTATTATGTATTCTGATAAAAACAGATTTCTTTACGGGAAAAATGATTGTCACAGCCTGAAAAAGGTATTTTAGAATCGTGGTGCCACAACTTGATGTGGGAGTTTTTCAGACGTTTGTGGCGAAACGTCAACGCATATAGAAAAGACAGAAAGTGCTTCAAAATAGTTCAAAAAACGGTCTTTGGGTGAAAGAAAATACTAATGCTTCAGAAGGCACTGCTCAGAATAAATCCAACTTTTGCATTCGCTTTCGACAACATATCTTCGCCTTCTTCATTCTGGGATTTATGGATGAACTTTTCAAGCCTTGTGAACGTCTAAAACTTCCCGCAGTTATCAGAAACACTGCTACCGACAGAAGCCACCTGATTGTTTACATCTGATGATCCTGGAAGCGATTTACCCTTGCTTGTGTTAAAGCGATGAAATCTATTTGATGAGAACTGTGACGGAGTTCAACATTTCGGTAATTGTTTTGACTAAGATGATGACTTATAAGTTTCTTCGTGGTGCTCTGCTCAGGATGCATGACAGATCTGCCGATGGTGTTTTTCACTTAGCGCTTTTAGCGTTACTTAATTAAGATTCGGCAAACTTTGATTGTTTTTGATCACTAGTGCCCGCCAAGGTTACTGGCTGGTAAGTCAAAAACGACCTCTATATAAATTGTATTAAAGAAAATCCCTAAACTTTTGGCTACTCGGAATTAAATTTACTCTCTCTTACTGTTTTTAATCGGCTTTCAATAATATAATAATCAATTTTTATTTGTACTCACTCTTGTTAAAGAAAAAATTACAATTTCAATGAAAATATTAAAAGTAAAAATTAGAGTATTAGCTGCCTGGAATAACCATAGGGGCTAGCGGAGCCAGGCAGCCAGTTAACATCAGCATTAAATAGAAAGAAAAGACAGGTCAGCAAGAAAAATTCAGCACAAATGCACACACAAGAAGAAAAAAAAAAGAAGAGGAAAAACGCAATGTCTATGCTATGAAGGAAGTCTAAAATAGTTTAAGTTATATATGAATACAAAACATTAATATAAGAAGAGC